GCCATCTGTGACCTGTAGTGCAGTAATAGCGTGGTTTTCCCCGTGTTCGGCTCCCTCCCCGAGTACTTAGTGTTAAATCATAGGGGGAGGAAGTGTGAGCAGAGGCAAAACAGCACTATTACGTGACCCCCGATGAGACCGCTGTGATAGAATTAAAAGCTGCCGCCCTAGGACATTCTAACAGATGACATTGTGAGGTTGCCAAGGTAACCCACCAGGATACAGATCCAGCATCTTTGGGGTTGGTGCTGGGTAGGTGAGGTCAGTTAGAGGTGGGGCCTAGCTGCCCAGGCCAGTCCATGGCAGCCAAGTGGAAAATCGGGGCAGCCCCACAACACAAGGGAATTTGGCTACTCTTTGGTTATTTCAGGTGAAAAGAATTAGAATACTCTGGATAATTATGCAATGTAGGTTACACAGATTCTTAAAAGATCTGGATGTTAATGATTCATGCTTTCATTCAATAAAAGTTTATTGACTACCTACTATGTTGGAAAGTCTCAGAATATCTAGGGGAAAGGTCAAGTGTTACAGAAAACTCTCAAAAATGCAGATCTATGAAGGCTTAAAAGACATTTAAGACATTTATCCACCTTTGGTACTAAGGAAAATGTGGAAGACAATAGAAATTACCAGAACAATTTATTAATCCCACAGACCTGGCTTTAAAACAAAACAAAACAAACCTATGTGTAAAAATTATAGAGTGGAAATGATTTGTTTACAAGAAAGCAGCTGCCTCTCCCAATCACAACCAAGTTAAGCTGCATCTGTTCCCTTCTCTCGCTTTCTTTTTTTACTTTTGAACTAGAGGAATACTTTGGAGATATTGTGGGATTCGGTTCTACACCACCACAATTAAGATAATGTTGTTGTTGTTATATGCCGTGGAGTCAGTTCTAACTCATAGCGACCCTGTACAGGGTTTCTGAGGCCGTAAATCTTTACGGGAGCAGAAAGCCTCATCTTTCTCCTGTGGAACAGCTGGTAGTTTCGAACTGCTGTCCCTGAGGTTTGCAGCCCGATTCGTAACCACTACGCTACCAGAGCTTCTTCTTTAGTGGATTAGTATGCGTTATTTTTCTTAGTCTATTAAGTGTGCAGTAGCATTACGGAAGGAGTCCTGGTATGACACTGTGGGTTAATGAGCTGGTCTGCAAGGTTGGTTTGAACTGTAAGGTCAGTGGTTCAAGTTCACCAGCTGCTCCTCAGAAGCCCTATGTAGGGTCGCTATGAATCAGAATTGACTCGACGGCATTTAACAACAACAGCATTATGAAACAGTATGAAATATTGTGAAAATTACCAAAATGTGACAGAGACATGAAGTGATCACATGCAGTTGGAAAAATGGTGCTGAAAGACTTAGTCAAGGCAGGGTTTCCAAAAGCCTTCAATTTGTAAAAAAAAAACCCTCAATATCTGTGAAGTGCTATGAAGTGAAGTGCAATAAGATGAGGTATGTCTGTACTGGCTATCACCTATAAAGACTTACAGTCTTTCTCCCATGAAATCTCTGTTAAAAGGTAGAAAAGTTTCAGATGGGCCTGACTTGTAGCAACTGTAGGCCTCAGGCAGTTGAACACCATAAAGCTCATTCCCTTTGGTCTCATAGATAGGCATTCAAAACTCTCTGTGGTACCACTGGACACTTGTCCCCAAACACTACTTTTTGACCCTGGAGTTGGGCCTTCACCTTGTCTTGTTATTTTCTCCAGATTGCAATCCCAGAGGTGAAGTGGGATGAGTGAAGTGAGGGGGAGGTAGGATGGAAAAGGAAACAAAGGGCAAAAGGGGGCAGAGGCGAGTAAAAAGGAAAACAGAGTTGGGATGGCTGGAGAAAAAGAAAACAATGAAGAAAATGGCTGAGAAGTGGAAATAAAGTTCCTGAAAACAAAACACTGTTTCTTTACCTCTTAGGGTGTTATTAATTGCAGCGGGGCCTCATTAAAATACCAATGGGGCCTAAGCCAACCCTCTGTCCAATGGGCCCAGTGCTTACCAATCCCTCTTTCCCCAACCAGAAAATGTAGATAATTAACTAGATTACTTCAGCTGTCTTGCTCCAACCCCTTTAATAATTGGCCAGACTGTACAACTACTGTAAATTATAGACTGCTTCTTTAAGCACTTTACATATAATGTTGTTGTTGATAGGCGCCACAGAGCCAGTTCCAACTCATAGCAATCCTGTTCAGGGTTTCCTGAGTTTGTAAAGCTGTAAAGGAGCAGAAAACCTCATCTTTCTCCCACAGAGCAGCTGGTGGATTTAAACTACCAACTTTGTGGATAGCAGTCCAGTGCTTATAGCGAATTTAATTCTTACAATAATCTAAAGTTATTGTTATTTGATAAATGAGGAAATAGGTCCACAGTGGCTAAGTCATTTGCCTAAAGTCACACGAAGATTAAGTAGAATGGTCAGGAGACCAACCTAGGCCATTTGGCTCAAGCATTCTGCAATTGATCTCATCACTTTAATTTTGCTTGTTTAAAAAAATGGAAGTGAAGAGAACATAAAATACTTACTGATGAAGATCAAAGACCACAGCCTTCAGTATGGATTGCACCTCAATGTAAAGAAAACAGAATCCTCACAACTGGACCAATAAGGAACATCATAATAAATAGAGAAAAGATTGAAGTTGTCAAAGACTTCATTCTTCTTGGATCCACCATCAACACTCATGGAAGCCGCATCTAGAAATCAAATGACATACTGCATTAGGCAAATCTGCTGCAGAAGACTTCATGATCATGTTTGAGGACTAAGGTGTACCTGACCCAAGTTATGGTATTTTCAGTGGTCTCATATGCATGTGAAAGTTAGACAATAAATAAGGAAAACTACAGAAGAATCGATGCATCTGAGTTATGATGTTGGAGAAGAAAATTAAATAAACAAATTGGAAGAAATACAGCTAGAATGCTTCTTAGAAGCCAGGACGGCCAGCCTTTCTCTCATACCTTAGACATATTATCAGGACGGACCAGTCACTGGTGAAGGACATCATGTTTCATAAAGCGGAGGGTCAATGAAAAAGAGGAAAACCCCAACTAGATGGGCTAACATTGTGGCAGCAGAAATGGGCTGAAGAATATCAACAATTGTAAGGATGATGTAGGATCAGGCAGTGTTTCTTTCTGTTGTGCATAGAGACGCTATGAGTTGGAGAGGACTCCAGAGCACCTAACCACAAACAGTCTCAAAAAGAAAAATCTTTTAAAATGAGCTCACTGCCTAACCTCTTCACTTAACAACACAGTCCTATCCATGCTTTGGAGTCCTGATATGTCGCTGTAGCATAAGCACTTGACTTCAAGGTCAGTTTGAACGTCAAGGTTGGTGGTTCAACCAGCAGCTCACCAGCAGCTCCTCAGAAACCCTATACAGGGCGACTATGTGTCGAAACCGACAGTAGGGAACTTAACACCCATGTTTTGGACTCCTGTAGTGATGCTGTAGGATGGCACTGGGCTGTGAACCACAAGGCCAGCAGTTGCTCCTGGGAAAACCTACACAGGGCTGCTATGAGTTGGAACCAACTCAATGGTATGTAACAACATGCCCTGTGCTTTATTTATATGTTTTTCTCCATGTGAGGCTTCCATAAGTTGAGGAGAAAGATCTTTTCAAACCGTGGGTACACCTGAAGTAGGTGGAATAGGATATGGCAAGGTGGAACAGGAACTGTTTTTTAATATTTCCCCTAAGTACCTGTTGTGGCGCTATGGGATAAAGCATTGGACCACAAGGCTGACTTAAACCACAAGGTTGGCGGTTCCTGGTGTGGCGCTGTGGGCTAATGCATCAGACTGCAAAGTGGTTTGAACTTCCAGGTCGGTGGTTCAAGGTCGGTGGTTCAAGCTCACCAGCTGCTCCTTGGAAACACTATACAGGGTCCCTATGGGTTGGACTTGATTTGATGACACTTAACAACAACAATAAATCACCCGTTGTGGCGCTATGGGATAAAGAACTGGACCTTGAGTTAAACCACAAGGATGACGGTACCAACTCACTAGTCGCTCTTGGGAAACCCTTTACAGGGTCGCGATGAATCGGAACCGACTCCCTTAACAACAACAACAACAAGCACCTGTTAGGATTCCTGGTGTGGTGCAGCAGAATAGGCACTGGACTACTAATCGCAAGGTTGGTGGCAAAATAACCATTAATCACTCTTTGGAAACCCTATACAGGGTCTCTGTGAGTCAGAACCGAGACACCACGGCTGAGTGCCACCGAGTTGCAGAAAGCTTCATCGTTCTCCTGCGAAGCGGCTGGTGGGCTCGAACTGCCGACCTTGTGGTCCACAGTCCACTGTTTACCCCACCAAACCTCTAAGCACTAAGTCCCAAGAAATAACACGAGCAGTACCCTACACGTTTGAGGACACGCCCACCTGTGGAATGGAGATTGAGTCCTCTCTAAGAAAACTACCCTGCATCCCTCAGCACGGTGTTGGCAGTAGCTTTTCCAGCACCTTGTCTTTAATCTTGAAGGATCCCATCCCAGTCCCCCACGCGCGCTACTGACTGCACACAACCTTGGTGAGGAGGGGTCAAGAGGGTGGGACCGTGAGTTTCAGGCCCGTGGGGTGGCGAAGGTCGCTCGGGGGAGGGGTGGCGTGTGCGGCGCGCCGGTCGCTGGCCGCATGGAGGCGGCAGCGTGGAGCGGAGGGCGCAGAGGGGCGCGGGGCGGGCCCGTTGCTCCCAAGGCGGCTGTCAAGAGCCGCGCGGCTTCCCCCGAAGATGCAGCGCAGCATATTTTGTACATGAGTTCAGAGGAAGAGGAAGTGTAGACGGCGGACGCGCGGCGGCGGTGGGGGCGCGTCGGGGCTGGAACCGGAGCGCGCCGGACTCAGGGCGCAGAGAGCAGAAGCGCGGCAGCAGCCAGCTCAGCGGAGGGACGGACGCACTGACTGTGGGCTGGATAGACAGAAGCACACGCCGCGCCACCGCCCCGGATCTCCTCTCGCTGGTGTCCACACCCTCCCCACGCTGCCTCCTTTGCTTGGCACAAACTTTCCTCCCGGGACGGAACACCCTGTCTCGGGGAGCCCGCGCGGTCTCCTTTGCCAGCCCAGAACGGTAGGTTTTGGGCAGGGGAATGGTGGGGGCCTGAGGGCTTGGTGTGTTGGCTGGCTCTGGCCTCTTCATTTGGCCCCTGTGGCGCCACCCTGCAGGTTGCCAGGGATGAGGCGTGCTTCTCCTCAGAACTGCCAGCGGAGTCCCCAACAGGAGTCGGATGGGGTGGGGGCCTATCCAATGGGTGCAGGCGTCTTGGGACAACTTTTTTTTTGAAATATCATCCCTTGCGAGCTTTGGGGCGAGACACCCTAGAGCTGTCTGTCGTGGGTTCTGCTGGCTCTGGGGTGCCTAGGAAGGAAGCGGGGGTGGGGTGGGGGTGGGGTTGAGGCTACAGGTGGGTTCAGTGCACTCTTGCATTGGGTCTTACACAGAGAGAGAGCGGGAGTTGGCCAAGGAGCCCAGGTTTGAGGAGGACGTGGGGCTGGGAGCGAGAGTGGGGGAAAGGTTAAATCTGATTGCCCTCAGTATGCGCCCTGAGAGAGGGATTTGCTCTCCGAGTAGGGGTGCTGGGTGGGTGGAAAGTGTTACGCGCGCTCGGAGGTAGCCGCTAGAGTGTGTAGACTTCTATCTTGGAGAGAAGCCAGTAGGAAAACGGGGATCTCCCTTCTGTAAGGGTTTTTCTATTCATGTCCTAACCCACCACAAGAGGCTCAAGGATTTCCAAGGTGGATCTGGATCTAGGCGGGAGTTTGGTGGTGTATGTTCAGACAGTCCGGCTGTCACGCACACGCGGGGGCCCCCCTTTCAGGGCAAGGCTGATGTCCTTCACCTCGGGTATCTCCGCCATTGGCAGGCAGAACCGCGTGGAAGCCAAGGTGTTGAACCCAGGCGTGCTCCCTGCCATCTTCGTGTTGCTCCCACATGGCTGGGCTGTGTGGCTGTTGGTGGCCCCACAGGGACGCTGAATGGTGTTGGTGAGTTGTTTAGGGGTTTAAAAACAAACGAAAAGTATTTTTCTTTTAATTCTGGCACAAATGCCTGTATTTGAGTGAATGCCCGTGTTTTCAGCAACAGACCCTTGTAATCGTTACAGCTGTTTTCAGATGCTGGGCTTAGAGTCAGACTAGGCGTCTTCCAGCCCCTGCCATCCGTGTGTCATCTCAGGATAAGTGAGGCCTTGCCAGGAAGGAAGTAGGGTGTAATGCAGCGACCTCTGGGTCCGTGGGTATGGTGTGCTGTGCGCTCCACGAGCCCCTGCCCCCCAGGATTGCTAATTTGTACAGCTGAATTCCCTACCAAGTTCAAGTGACCCCAGATGTCGCCAGATCCCATAGAGAACATAGAGGAGTTAAGCAACAAGCTGTTTGGTGCTCTTTGGTGCGTGTGTGTGCTAACCTTAGTGAAATCACTTTAACCTCAGACTGAGCCCTGCATCCTCTTTTGCCTTCTGTGGGGTTTCTGGCCGCCTGCATAATTCAAGCCCCAGAGCTTGGACTTCATCCTCTGGAAGCATTTGTTTATGTATTCCCTGGTTGATTTTTCTTTGTTTGTTTTTTGGCTGCATGGACATGGGGCAAATGGAAATGGAATATGTGCAGTTAACTAATGGATTCAGTGCAAGAATTCAAACAGAATAAACTGGGAATACAAGTCAGTGAGTTCTTTTTCTCCTTCTTGAGCAGGAATCTTTGGCTTACATTCAAATAATTGCTTTGTCTGTAGGGAAACAAGCAGAAAATCTTTGGCATGAGTGATGTGAGTTCCTGTAAAGCTACTTGTTTTCTTCCAGTCTTCACTTTTTAGTAGAATTGAAGCTATGTGAGCCCATGACTTGGTGGGCCTGGGTGCTTTGCCAAGTTTCTGACTTACTGGGTGAAGGAGGAGGCACTGTGTCTCTTCTCCTCCAACATCATAGCATTTCTTCTTCTTTTTTTCCCCTGAAAAAATTTTAAACTTGTAGATAAATTGCAAGTGCAGTGACCATGTAAATACTCGCTACCTAGCATCTATCACTAATAATGGTTTGCTGTATTGCCTTCATCACACATTTGTCCATGTATACATCCATCAGTTCAGTTTATTGTTTTATGCATTTTAAAAATAAATTACTGACATTGGTGTATGTCACTCCTAAGCATTTCAGCAGCACACATTTTAATATTTAGTGTTCTATATATGTTCATGGTTTTTTTAATGGTAAAATTTACATACATATAGTGAAATGCATAAATCTTCAGAGTACCATTTGCATAATGTTTTGACAGATGCATACACCTGTGTAACCCCAGTTCGTATCAAGATATAGAACATTACCATCACCCAGAAAGTTCCCACATGCCTATTCCCAGTCAATACCTGCCTTCTCCCTCCCAGTGACAACCATTGTACTGATTTTTTCTCACCATAGGTTAGTTTTGCTTGGTCTTGAATTTTATATAAATAGAATTACAGTATGAACTCTTTTGTGAGATTTGTCCATGTTGTAATACACCAGTACTTTGGTCTTTTTTTAATTGCTGAGTCATATCCAGAGTATGATTATACCACAATTTGTTTATATATTCTATTCTCCTATTGCTGGAGACATAGGTCATTACTAATTGTTTTTGGGGTTTTGTTTTTTTTACTGTTATAAGCAGGGGTATTACCAACATTTTTTGTACTAGTTTTTTTAGTAAACGTATTTATTGTTATTCATTGTTGTTAAGTGCTATTGGGTCAATTCTGACTCATAGAGACACTGTAGAGTGTTTCTGAGGAGAGGCTAGTGGGTTTGAACGGCTGACCTTGTAGTTATCAGTCCAGTGCCTATTCTACAGCACACATTACTTGTAGGTAAATTCCTCTGATTAGAATATCTGGGTCATAGAGTAGGTATAAGAAACTGCCAGCCCTTTTCCCCAGTGTTTTTGTATTATATATACTCCTACCAGCAAAGAATGCAAGTATGTACTATAATCCTGTCTTTCTATCCCAAAGCCAGTAAACTGATTTGGCAAGTATTCTTCTGGGTTCTGAGGAACCCAGAAACTGGGACCACTTGAGACAATCTGGAACACATTATTTTTATAGACAGAGGGACTGTGAGAAATCCCTGACTCTGCCAGTAAATGGGTTTGCACTAAATTATTGCAGACCGATGAGACTGGATATTTTATTTTTAGAAATCTTCAGAGAAGGGAATTCCATAAGGGAATGTACCGTGGGTTATGAAAGAAGATTGAGTATTTTTTACTAGAAAAAATAACTCCAAACACTATACAATTCCACTAAACTTCTGCTTAGAAACTCCAGGGGGATTTCTGGCACATTGGTCTGGTTGACGTGAGCTTGCTGGAGATTCCCTTTGGATTTCACCCGTTTGGGCAGCTGGCTATTGAAAGGGGTTGTGAAAAGGTCAGATTTTTGCTTTTTGAAGAGTCAGAGAGCAGTTTTCCTGTTATAAAGTGAGTGCTTGTCAACACCCTTGGTATTGTCCTGGCTAAGAAATGGATCTGTACCAAATGGTCCCCTTGTATCTCAGTTGCTTGAAGACAGAGGCTGGGAACTGGGGGAGGCAGCAGCAGTTCCCCAGGTGACTTGGATGAGTGGGAACCTAGGGTGCAGTTTTGATTCTCATCAGATCTCAGGGTGGACTTTGCAGGTATCAGGGGATGCTTGTTTCTGTGTAGGGACATTCCACTGCCCTTGGGGACTTCCTCTCATCTGAGCCCACAGTCAACACTGGTTGAATGATTCTTGTGACTCACGGTACTTAGCTGGGATATTACCTCTTGGAGGTTGAAAGTAGTGCTGATGTGTCAGGGCCCAGGACATAGGAGTATATTATTAGGACCTACTTTTGCTATGGAGTCCTGGCGTTTCAGGATAATGTGCTGGACCGTAAAGTCCGTTTGAATCTCAAGGTCAGCGGTTTAAGCTTACCACCAGCCGCTCAGGTTTGCTATGAGTTGGAACCTACTTGACGGCACGTAACAACAACTTTTACTATGGAAAGAACAGTAATTCTGTAAGATAAGCAATGGACTGCAAACCACAAGATCGATGGCTCAAGCTCACCAGTGGCTCTGTGGAAGACACATGAGGTTTTCTGCTCTCATAAAGATTTACAGCCTCGGAAACCCTATACAGTTGATTTGAAATCAACTCAATGGCACCAACAACTTTTACCATAACCTAGGAAGCAGGTTCAAAGTGTTTGGGTTTATGGAAAAATTTGCTGACATTAAACTTCTATTGTATTTATACTATTCTTATTTTATTACAGATTTTTGCCACTGTTATTAACAAAATAATAATTATAGCTACCACTGGCTGAGTGCTTACTGGTGGGTTCTGTTAGGCACTTTACATACATTATCTGAATCTATTCCTCATGAGAGGTAAGCACTATTATTATTTGCACTTAAGTCTTAAGGAAACCAAGATTAGAGAGGTTAAGTAACTTGTCCTAAGTTTACATTTTCGTGTTGCCATACATTAGGGAAAGAGACCATGATGATGTTCTAGTTTAGTTAATCCAGATTTGATCCACAAACACAGATTTGCAAATACACAAAGCTAAAGTAGGATAGAAATTTACACTTGCTAAACAGAAAAAAGCTGCAAAAAAATGGCACATAAAATTCTTTCTAAGTTTTTTTTTTTTCTTTTTGGCTTTTGTTTTAAGCGTGATGAATTTGACACCAAGGTACAGATTTGGGGGATAATTTAAGATGTTGTTGTCAGGTGCTGTCTAGTCGGTACCGACTCACAGAAACCCTATGCACAACAGAATGAAACCCTGCCCAGTCCTACACCAACTTCACAATTATTTCTATGCTTAAGCCCATAGCTGTTGCCATGTGACAATCCATCTTGTTGGAGGTGTTCCTGTCTTTCACTTCCCCTCCACTTTGCCAAACATGTTGTCCTTCTCATAGGGACTGGTCCCTTCTGGGAGTATGTTCAAAGTATGGCCATCCTTGCTTCTAACGAGTATTCTGGCTGTACTTTTCTAAAACAGATTTGTTTATTCTTTTGATAGTCCATGATGCTTTTAATATTTCTC